CTTGCAAACTTAATACGATATTTTGGGATGAAACTGAGAAGTGTAAATCATGGTCGGATCAAAGTTTAGATCAATTTCTAAGATCAAAAATCAATATTTTAATCAAACTTCGAAAATGTCAATATGTTCATTTATTTTTGTAAAGTAATATCAAATGTGTTCTCAAACTTCGATGCTATTTCAAAGTCGACTTTATTGAAGTCGATATTGAATATTAAATATATTGATGATAACTTTTTAAGTGATTATTTTTGATCCTATCCTTGAATTTTAATGGAAAAGGAGCATGGTAATTTCATTATTAAAATGTAACCATAACATGACATCGCACCAGCACGAAATGATGAAAAATCCATTTGTTTAATCAAAAAGGAAATTACGAAACGCACAATACAGAATCAGACGCATATTTTTATGCAAGAATATAGCTAATTCAGTAAAATGAAAAAAAATTATGACTTGCAAACTTAATACGATATTTTGGGATGAAACTGAGAAGTGTAAATCATGGTCGGATCAAAGTTTAGATCAATTCTAAGATCAAAATCAATATTTTAATCAACTTCGAAATGTCAATATGTTCATTTATTTTGTAAAGTAATATCAAATGTGTTCTCAAACTTCGATGCTATTTCAAGTCGACTTTATTGAAGTCGATATTGAATATTAAATATATGATGATACTTTTTAAGTGATTATTTTTGATCCTATCCTTGAATTTTAATGGAAAAGGAGCATGGTAATTTCATTATTAAAATGTAACCATAACATGACATCGCACCAGCACGAAATGATGAAAAATCCATTTGTTTAATCAAAAAGGAAATTACGAAACGCACAATACAGAATCAGACGCATATTTTTATGCAAGAATTCACCTTAATTCACCTTATATTCATGCATTAACATCTGAAGAAGCTCTAGAACTCGCAGACTCGAACTTTAAATGCGTCGTCGTGCTTCCTCTGATGTTTATGTACAAAAAAGTTGTATTAACCCTTTATTCTGATATAATCTATGTGAATCAAATAGCATTAACATTTCTCTCCCGATATGACCATAGGAGCTTGAAATCAACGTGGTTGTACAGATTTTTTTTTCGTTTCTTTGTTCACTATAATTCGACAGTTAATGATTAATCACACCCTTCTAAAAGGTCTACACTGAGGTCCAAAGTCAGTTCTCACAAAGATCAAATGAGGCAAATAAACGGACAAAATTTACAAATTATAATAAAGAGATAATGGTAGTCTCCGAATTTAATTGAAACTCATTTTCTGTGCGATTCTTAGGCTATAGCGCGATTTGAGTGAAATGCCTTTAAACGCTTTTTATTTTTGTGTCATTTTGCATAAATACCAACTGGAATTTATTAGTTTTGAAATATATGGTAAGCGGTTGTTCTTGAAGTTTGCACACAGGTGATCGGTCAGGTATATTAAAAAAAAAAAAAAAAAAAAAAAAAAAAAAAATTCTTACACAGTCGTGACAGTGATAGAATACACTTTACCTCTTTAGTAGACTAGAGACTTCTGAGTCAAAACCTACTTTAACCTGGCCCAAGTCACCGCAACACCCTAAGACCACCTGATGGTGTATCCCGACTCATCTAAAGAACCTTATACGCCCGACTAACACTATGTACCTGGTCGTCCGTCCGCCCGTCTATTAGCAGTAATGTAACATTGCATTATTGATCTTTACAAAACTGATATGAATCATGCTCCTTGGTTCATTACTGACCCCGCCCAGGGGCAGTTGATTTATATAAAACACACATATCTGAAACTTATGTGAAACTGCGATGCCCAGAGCTTAGATATTTTGCAGGTATAAACATCACTTTGCGGACCGCAAAATAACTGTTATTTATCATGCACCGTCCCAGGATTATTTACTTAATGTATTTTGTGCAGAAAAACACATCTTTGTCGTATTTTGGTGAAACCACAATGCCTAGAGTCATTAAACATGTAGCATTGCCTTGTTAGCCTCTACAAAACTCGTAATAATCATGCCCCTTGAGTAAATGTTGGTCCCGCCCCTGGGGTCACTAAGTTGATATAGTCTAGCATGAGACAACACATTTCAGTCAAACTTTGTGAAACTACAATGCCAAGAGCTAAGATATTTACCATATAGCATCACCTTGTTAACCTCTGCAAAATTGATATTTATCTTGCCTCTGGGGTCAAAATTGGCCCGCCACGGGGTCACTTGATTATAGGAAAACACATTTTTTTCATATTGTATGAAACTACAAAGCCCAGAGCATGTAGCATCACTTTGTAGGTTTCTTTAAAAAATATATTAACCATGACCCTCAGGTCAAAATGTGCCCTGTCACTGAAGTCACTTGTTTAAACTAGATTAAGGTATATAGGGGCGTCCGTGGCCTAGTGGTTGAATCTCGACAGGGACTTTGGATTATTTCATGTGAGGAAGCTATCCAGCTAGCTTACGGAACGTCGGTGGTTCTACTCAGGTGCCCGTTCGTGCCTGAAATAATGCACGGAAGTGCACCTGAGGTCTTCCTGCACCAGTAAAGCTGGAACGTCGCCATGTGTCGGTGTGACGTAAAACCCAAATAAACAAACATTAAGGTATATGAAAAAACCCATATTTTTGTCGATAAATATGCCTCTATATTTTGCATATGTTATTTCCTAATAGACCTCTATATAAGTTTTATAAGTCATGCACTTAGGGTAAAAATCCCCCCACACCTTGGAGGCCATTATTATGTTATCATAAGGATAATGAAAGATAAAACATTTTTCAGACAAGTTTCTTGATTGGGCTCACCCTAATTGAAAGAATACTTTTGATTACTCAAACAAATTTACATTTTATACGGATGTAAAACGAATAACAAGACTATTTTCACTTTATTTTCTTTATTTCAGTCTCATCTTTACATGTATACAAAAAATTACATATAAAACGTAAAACACACACATAAAATACATGAAAAGCCATTCTATTTTTGCCTCTAAGGGAGACAACTCCACATACCATATCACAGCAGTTTACTGTTTTATGTCGTATTATGAATTGTCCCCCTAGCTACACAAATTTCGTATAATCATTATCATTCATTAAAAGGTTATATTGTATTTTAAAAACATGACCTCAATATATTCAAACTATTGCGTGTTTTTCCTACAGAAGTTTACATTGTGGTACAATGAATAAAACGATACTAAAATGTTTAAATGCAAATGGTAAGAAGAAAATTTAACCATTATATATCATTTAACCTTGGAAAGCATGTCATTTATTATACTTGATACTTTACATTCTCAAAATATTACTATCTTCAGTATATCAACGATTTGTATTCTTCAACATATTAATTTACATGAAAATCTGTTTTATCCATACAATATATTGGCTTAGTCAATGGATGTTTTATACAGAAGCAGCATATATTTGTCCAATATGAAATAAATATGGCCATAAAAACTTATATATAAGTCAATTAATGACATATCCTGTCAAATAAAATTTCCTAAGACTGTTTTTATTATAAATTATTTTTATACTGTCGAATTAAATTTATCTAGGACTATATAAACTATAAAGTAATATTCACTTTTGAAAAATTGATAACGATGTGAGACCGCAGTGTTAGTGTGAGTAAAATAATTATCTCAAAACCTACATTGCAGTAAAAACATTTACCTATTATTCTTTTATATACAATGCACAGATTTTAGATAAAATATAAAAACATATAAAAAGACACATCAGAAAAAGGAAAAAGAGAGCAATTTGTATGTTCTTATATGTAGGAAAGTTACCCTTCTCATAAGTATGTCAAAGCAGGTTTTCGCAATTTACCGTACGCAACTCGTATTTGATAATATAAAAGTAAACTTCTCCATAGTTGTCATTGTGTGAAATTGTGGGTTTTTGACACTCACTTTTTCAAATAGATCTACACGAATATCTTCATACATAAAACATTCCCTTAGAGCATGAAATCCACTTTCTACTTTGTCATTACAAAAAGGACAAAGCATTTCATTTACTGGTAGGCGTTCATATCTACCTGTCTCTATTCTTGGTGGTGCAGTTCCACATCTGAACTTAGCAAAAGCGGACCTGTGGCAATGCAGTAGTATTGTTCAGAGGCGCATTTTTAGTAGAAGAAGGCATTGCCTGGAAGTTTCTCACAGTCATGAGATATACCAGTGTAGACAAATTAGGTTTAAATGACCATTGTTATTGTAAGAGTGTATGTTCTGATGTTCACTTAATTGTTCATGAAATACATAGACATTTTTAATTTCTTAAATGATTTGATGAGAAACGCTTTCAAAATCGTGAAGTTTACTTACAAAGCCCCTTTTGCAAGCAGAACATCCTCAATATAAGAAAAGTTTAACACATCCTGACAAGGTAATGTTTATTTGATACAATTTTATACAATTATACAGTTCAACAATATATATACAACATTGATAAAAAGTGCAGGAACAAGATAAATTATACTTGAAAATAACTGACATTAAGTGGTTTTTCTCAATCTTAAATTGGAAAAATCAGTTAATGTCGGTTATTTTATATATCATGATCGTGAAAGCTACTATCCTGACTACCGAATAATATTCCAAAACAACAAAATCACTATTACACTCGAGAATTTATTCTGATTTAAACAACATTGAAAGAAATATAGCCTGTCCAGTCTCGAGTTTTATTCAAATTATTCTGGGCAATCTTGTTTATTTTTTCTTTAAATCTGTGCAGGTCTTTTCATTTAATCTCTGAAGAGTATTTATAAAAATGTCTATAATATCGGCGATAACGACTTGCCTATAAATAAAAAGATGCAGATCAACATCTGACTGGCTTTTCATACAATCTGATCAGACTCTAAACTGTGGAAAAAAGGATGAAAAAGACACACATATTTTTCTGAATGAGATACCCAAAAGTGGGTTTCCATAAAAAAAAAACAAAAAAAAAAAAACCAACAACAAAAAAAAAAAAATAAAAAAAAATGCATGTATATGGTAGCGACTAAAACAATCGTATATCAAGGAAGTAATCTTGTTTTTTTAATGAATGTTTAAAATTGTGTTCATATGTATATATGATTTAGCCTACCACAAAGCACTTAAAATATGCATGAATTATGCAGATTATGTCAAAATATGCCAAAAACAGTTCTTCCTTTATTAGGAACGGTTAATCGAAAAGTCAATAAATTCAGTCATATTCTCCTGAAACATGTAAAATTATAAATACGAAGCGGGTATATTTAAACAGTACATTGCTTATAAACTCCTAATATATTGTTCGAAAGGTTATTTACTCAGTTGGTGCGCAGCTTTAATCATTCATAATAATAATGTTTGTTCAAGACATGCTTAAATTTAGAGAAAAAAAATGAATGCGTGGATATATAATATAAATGTCTTAGAAGTTTATATGAAAACAATCTTAGACAATCTAAGACAATCTAAGATATCATTAGTCCATTTACTATAATGTAATTGGACTCAAATAAAACAAAGAGTTTTACATATATGAGTGTTTCGTTAGTTTAAAGGTCCAATGATATTTTATTCAAAAATGTAAAAAGAGTAAACCTGTGATGTTGTTGACATAACTTATGAGCATTGTTTGAAAGAGTTATAACTTATATAGAATGACTCTGTTCTTTAACACACATTGGTACACTACGTAAATAAAATAAAATGTATCGCGGAAGAAATCTTAATAAGGACTTTAAAAGTTTTGCAATGATTTCGTTCACATAAAAAATATATCTATATTCGAATACTTTTCAAACAAAAAAAATGTAAAGTGCAAGTAGCGTAGATATAGCTTTTACATTTCAAGGATATATTAATCGTCACTATCCACATGGAACTTTGCATGTTGTACATAATATGACAGAATGAACAATTATTTTACAATATTTCTACCTATTTACTAACATATAATAGTAAGGGTCATTTCTCCATATATGGACACGTTATAACAAGTATATGGATTAAGTGATTAAATCTTTGTTTAATCACTTTATATTTACACGTTTGGCAACATGCTTCTACCAATCATATAATTTTTCAAACTTTCGTGAAAATCAACAGGAAGCAAGAAGCAGGGGCCGGTTTATTTTATTAACATTTAAATAGAATGAAGTAAGATCACGTCTTACTTCAATGTTCAGTATTTCTCAAACTCGACATTTACATCGAGAATGTGATGTATGATTATATGCTTTGTATCAGGACACCAGAGAAAGAACAATAATCATCGTTATAATCATCTAATTGAGAGAAAGACATTCCACCCACTCGAACATTTTCACCTTTTTTAACTAAGGCCACGGCACTGAAAGATGTACACTTTGCATCTGTAGCTCTGGCTGGGATAGTAAACTCTCCGGTAACAATCCATTTTGAGTTAATTTTAATGTAATAGTTTATATCGTCTACAGTTTTATTGCCGCAAATGTGTGCATTAAACTGATAAATCCCGTCAATTGGCGGTGTGAAAATCCCCGTGTCTTTGTTGTAGGCATCGCCTTTGTTTAGTATAATGTTGGAGAATTTTATGGCATCAGAACCAGTGTAATTTACTGCATCCGCCACATTGAATGCTATAGTCTCTAAAAAAGAGGTTCATATTTACTACTTAGATCACAACAACAATTTATCACAATTAAAAAATAGCTATTGAAGACTGTAAAAATATCGCCAAAGTATTAAACACAAATAGTTTATTTAAATTTTAAACTGATGCCATTTTCTTAACAGGGAATAATTATTCTTTTCTGAGGCAGAATGTGCCTGTAAGTGTCAGCAATATATAACAGATATTTATACACATAAATATACATAATCAAATATTTAATTTTATTTCATTTGTAAACAAGAAAAGCATTGATGCGAAACATTAAAGGGCGTCCAAGCAAGAAAGGCAGCAAGTGAAGATGAACTAGTTGACATCTGATAACCAGATATTCTTATAAACTTTTCAATGGTTAATTGGTTTAAACCAGAATTATATATCATTTATGAATGGGCGGACGAAAGACTTTATTCGTCATGAACTTTGGTAGGCATGCTAGAGATTTGAACATTAAATGCTTTTTTCCCCACAGGAATTCAATATTTACGATAATACCCAAAATATAAGGTCTATAATATCAAAAATATACACGCTATATGGTATAAGTTTATTTATACTATATAAGGGGTATTGTTTGGATATTATCATTAATTTTGGTTATTTGATAAAATTACAAGTTCCTGTGGTATTTTCTTTGGAACATACAAAAAAGTAGTCAAAATGAACAGTGTCTGTTGATTGATTTATTGGGAGATAAATCTACTATTTTAATGAATTACTTCAAAAACCTCGTCTGACCCACCAGTGTGTTTACATTTCTATCAATAAACCCATTACAAATCATGTTAAAATTGCAGACGAAAGTTTCTGTTGTTAAAATATCACAATATTCTGGAAATCAACATTCAACTCAAACTACCATAAAATCGTTTGTCTTCAAACAAAATATAGATAAATCAGGGTCAATTTTAGCTAAAGAGACTTGAACAGCGAATAGGTTTTATAGTATACTACTGCTAGAGCTGTTAACTGTCGCATACCATCAAAATAAAGCGACATTTAAAGTTTTGAACTAGGTCGATGTCTATTTAAATATTCACGGTAAAGTGTCATAAGTGCAATCAGGGCATTAAAAAAGAAAACCGGACAGAACCTTGGCAAAAGATAATTTCAAAATGATAATACTACTTAAGTTTGAACAGTTTATTGAAAATGCTGGGCCTCTAAGAGACATTAGTCACATATAAAGAGTGCAATTAATTGTTTGAATATGTTTGCATTTCATTTCCTGCAAAATTCTCCAGTTCGTTATTTATTACCATAGCGCGACAAGAATGACGTCGACCGTTTTGTTTAACTAAAACTACTTCTATAAATAAATTTTCGAACTTTCACAATGTTTAGGTCATCATTCTATTTATAGGTGCAGTAATAACATACATAATAACCCACTGTGTACTACAAAATGATTAATAAAAAACCGAAGAGCGCGACGTATTGACTGAGAAGATAATTGCATTTGTATATGTTTGCATTGCGAAATTCTACAGTTCGTTATTCATGGTACATATCCCGACATATGTCATTGTTGATTATCAAACACCCTCATACCAATCGGAATGATCGACTATTATGGCCGACGAAAAGTCCCGAGAAGTTGCAATTGCCCATTTTCATTCCATAAATGGCGTCGCGCTTTGACGCGGACGCCAATGATGTTTGAAGTTTACAAATAAGTTGTTCTGGCCGAACAGAGGAGAAATCATAAAGTGTATTCTAGACATTCAAGACATTGCTTATGTCTTTCGTGTTGATGTTGTAACTTATAAACATAAAACTAAAATATTCTGTTATTTAGTTGGTTGAAACTATGACAATGTTGATATAACTGTAAATTAATTTGTAAGGTACAATAAAAATGACATATCGCGGACAAAAAGGAAATGTTTTCTTACGGACCTCTCCACAAATGCATCAATCGATTGATGCACAAACACTTGGTCATTGGTATCATTTTAATAGTTTATCAGATGTATTAAAATTAAAAATCACTTTAGATTAGGCAAATGAAATTTTATAGAAAAGGCTTTGCGTTATTTGAAAAGTTATTTATATTTATTGGCGCTTGATTTATAATATACATTTTTGATTTGGTTTTTCATTTCATTTCATTTTCATTAATTTAACAGAACAATCAACATGATATAGATAAAATAAATTAGACTAACGTGTTTTCTTCTCCGTTGCTTGATCCAACTCTTTCATTTGCTTTTCTAAAGCCGCAAGTCTTTTGGACAGATCTGAAAGACCATCCTTGCAAGTGGTTTTGACTTCATCTGTTACTGCCTTTAGGACATCTAAACCGGAAGTGCTCTTCTCCACGTCTTTCTTAATATTTGCCACAACTACTGAAACGTTTCTCATGCTTTCTAAAATAACAAATCTAGAGCTATTAATGAAGGTGATTCATACACCCACCTTAAACCAAATAAGATTAGAATTTGGAATGTGAGCCTATATTAGTTACTTATTTTAAATTAGAGTCATAATCACTGAAGGTGATTAATTGATTGATATCCTCAATATACCATCTTGTTACTGCAATGATAACAAGGTCAAATAAAGGATGCATTAAAATTGTTTAATTTCAAGGTAAAGAAAAGTGTTTTCAAATTGCAAAATTTTGTCCACCAAACCGTGAAGTTCTTTTGTTTGTAACTTTTATAATTTGGAAAAAGTCACAGCTTTTCCTTTTATTAATTGGGCTGTTGCCAAACTCAACCGGACTTCTTTTTCATAAAAAAATTGTTCCTATTTAATACTCAATATTAATCCGCTTTCAACTTAAGGAGTTATCTTCTAGAAACTGCATATAATGCAAAACTGAAATCGAAAAAGTGCCACCATTGATTGAAAAAAATACTTTGAAGCTAAATTCATACTATTTTATCATGTTATACCCTTGTACAAAAATTGTGTAAGTGAATCACATATTTAACGACTTAACATCTGAAAATTATGTTTTAATGTTGTAAATGGGTCATCATTGAGTGGCTCACAATTTTAGTTAAAATGCGTCACCAAATGTAAGAACAATCCAAGGCTTCATCACAAAGTTTACACATGGAGACCAATGCAAGAAGGAGACAAAGAAGATGTCATAAGTATGTGAAAAAGTAGTGGTCTGAAACCAAATTTGAATTCAACCTGTATTATATGATGTTTTATATGTGTACGAAAAATTATCCAAATATATTGCCTTATTAAAGAGTTATAAAAGGGGTTATAACTTTAGAAAAAATGAGGACTTGACCTGTTTTATGATGTTACATCTGTGAATAAAAAAATATTAAATCGATTGCCTCGTTCAAGAGTTTTCAATTTGACACACAGGCGGACGTACTCACAAAATGGTACTTATGTGACTTTTCCTTTGATCTTTAAAAACGGGATGAATAGGCTCAAAGAGAATTTACTGTTACCCATTGTTCTCCAAGTTTGGGTTTGTACGGACTGACGGATGGACGGACGGACCGACTTACGAACTGGCCTTGAAGTTATAAAACTTTTTTCTGTGTTCAGCCTCAAATCTCAGGATTTTAATTAGTCAGTGAACATTGTGTGGCTGTTTCTGACCAATTAAATACCTGAGATCTGAGTTTCAGCTTAGAAAATTTGTTTATAACCCTGGAACCTAGTTCAACCCTAAACTTCGTTTGTGGGGTCTATAAATATTTTAGTAAGAAAGAAAAAAAAACATACTAAAGTACCTGCATTAAAAGCAAAATGTACGCAAATTTTCGTTACATGAACAGAAGATGACACAAGCTGCGCGAAATTATCGCTAACCCTACAAATGTTTGGTGGCGCTTTAACTTGTGTTTATATATTATTCACATGCATTAAATAAAAGAAGCACACTTGTAAATCATTTTGCAAATTTGGCAATGCATGTATTTGAATAATGTTTATTTTTAAAAAGTATATAATGTATTTTGTCACCCTATTTGTTTGTTAAATGTGTTTACATCGACACTGTTAAGGTCATATAAAAACTTTCCAGTTTTACCGGTGGAAGAAGATCTCAAATCATTCGTCTGTCTTGCCAAATTTTTAGACAGGTCTGAAAGTCCATCCTCACACTTTTTGTTGATCTCATCTGTAACTACCTTTAAGTTGTCTAAACCGGAAGTACTCTCCTCAAGGTCATTAATGATGCTTCCTACAACTTCTGTCATATTTTTCATGCTCTCTGTGGCAATAAGAAGTGAAACTAGAATACTATGCAAGAATGAAAACAATGAAGATTTATGAATATAATGACTTTGATTGAATGAAAATAAAGGAAACGATTGTAACAAGTTTTCTTTATGGCAATTGTGGCTTCAGAACATGTTCTGAGATGTTGCCTTGACAAATATTTTATTTTCACCCTATTTAGTTGTTAAATGTGTTCACATCGACACTGTTAAGGTCATATCTAAACTTTCCAGCTTTACCTGTGGAAGAAGATCTCAAATCATTCGTCTGTCTTTCCAAATTTTTAGACAGGTCTGAAAGTCCATCCTCACACTTTTTGTTGATCTCATCTGTAATCACCTTTATGTTATCTAAACCGGAAGTACTCTCAACTTCAGTCAAATTTCTCATGCTCTCTGTAGCAATAAAAAGTGAAACTTAAATACTATATAAGAGTAAAAACAATGAAGATTTATGAATATATTAGCTTTGATTGAATGAAAATTAAGGAACGATTGTAACAAAGTTTTCGTTCTGAGATGTTGCCTTGACAAATATTTTATTTTCTTTCCGAAAATAGGCAAAGTTTGCCCTTATATATAGAAATTATTCCAAACTAATAAAATATTGGGGTTTTTCATTTGAGTTAGTTTTTATTAGTCATTTTGTCAACTAAGGCCCAGTTTGCGCAGTTTGTCACAGTAGAATATGTAGATTCTTATTTACTATACGAAGGGAATTTTTTGTAAAATAAATAGTTTTTAGAATATTTCGATTATCGACGCATGAAATGTACTGTATTAAATAATATTTTCAATACGTAATAATCTCAATAATTCAAATCAGTATAATAATTAAAACATACTATTATCTTATTCACGTATATGGCTGCATGTTATTTTATTTATTTTTTTTCCATTAAACTACACACGCGGTTTTACATTCACGGAGGAGAATGCTGCACATTTTATATGTGTAAGTCAGGACACCATGTCATGAACCGCCTCTGTGATCGAGTGGTTTTAGTCGATGACTTCTAATCCAGTTACATCTCTGGCGTGGGTTCGATCCTCGGGAGATGCTTTGGTAGTTTAGCGCGGAGGAAGGAAGTCTAGTACTGGTGTAACTCTCCAGGAACGATGGTTAGGAAACTCCCCGCCTAAATGACTGAAATACTGTTGGGAAAAGGCGTAAAATGAAACAAACAAACAAAACCATGACATGCACGTAAACAAACAGGTTCCTACAATAACAGACCTGGACCCGTCCGTGTTCAAAAAGGACAGCGCGTTCATAATACAAATTAAAAAACTACACAGATAGAATACACACGCACGCACGCACGCACGCACGCTAACGCACACGCACACGCACACGCACACGCACACACACACACACACACACACACACACAAATCAAAACGTTTTGCACGAGTTAAGAGAGAAATGGCAATTTTAAAATAAGAAAAGAAAAAATATTAAAGTGGCTTAACCAGTTTTCGAACCTACGAGTGTTCGTCTATATTCTTGAAGTGACAGCCCTAAATGACTGCCCTAAATGACTGTGCTAAGAGGGATTTGTAATTTAAACCATTTAACAACTGGTTATATTCATTCATTTCGATTTACAGATAGATAGCAACGTTTATGGAATTTACCTACTAAAGGGTCAAATGCAAGAGTGCCAGGTCAATGTTGTTTGACAATACCAGTAAATGGTACATAAAAAATGTAAAAATGCTGACTTGCAAACTTACTACGATATTTTGGGATAAAACTGAGGAGTGTTAATCATGTAGATAGTCGAATCAAAGTTTAGATAAATTCTCAGATGAAAGTCAATATCTGGATCAACTGTGAAATGTCCATATCTTCATTTATTTTGTAAAGTAATATCAAATGTATTCTAAAACTTCAATGCTATTTCAAGTATTCAATATTAAATATTAGGTCTATGATGATACTTTTTAAGTGATTATTTTTGATCCCATCCTTGAATTTTAATGAAAAGGGAGCATGGTAATTTCATTAACATGACATCGCACCAGCACGAAAAGATGACGAAATCTATTTGTTTAATAAAAAAAGAAATTACGAAACGCAAAATACAGAATCAGACGCAAGAATAGCGCTAATTCACCTTATATTCATGCATTAACATTTGAAGAAGCTCTAGGACTCGCAGACTCGAGCTTTAAATGCGTCGTCGTGCTTCCTCTGATGCTTAAGTACAAAAAAGTTGTATTAATCTTTATTTTGGTATAATCTATGTGAATCAAATAGCATTCTTATTCTCTCCAGATATGACCACAGGAGCTTGAAATCAACGTGATTGTACAGTTTTTTTTAGTATTTTTTGTGTGTTTTTTTTTTCTTTTTTTTATTCACTATAATTCGACAGTTATTGCTTAATCACACCCTTCTAAAATGTCTACACTGAGGTCCAAAGTCATGCCAGTTGCCACAAAGATCAAATGAGGCAAATAAACGGGCAAAATTTACAAATTATAATAAAGAGATAATGGTAGTCTCGAATTTAATTGAAAATCATTTTTTGTGCGATTCTTAGCCTATAGCCCGATTTGATTTAAATACCTTTATATTAAACGTTTTTTTATTTTTGTGTCATTTTGCATAATTACAAACTGGAATTTATTAGTTTTGACATATATGATAAGCGGATGTTCTTAAAGTTTCCACACAGGTTATCGGTCAGGTCCTATAAATAATAACTCGCGAAAATAAATATTGCTTGTCCCATCATTTAATTTTTTTAGATGAGTCCTTTTAAATACATGTTATAATACATAAACGAAAATTGTTTTCTTCATAAAATGTACACATACGCATGTTTTCAGATACTATGCTTTCATTTGCCATGGTCTCACTTAAAATGTCCGTCTGTCTTTCAAAATTGTCTATCTTGCCTTGCTGCTCCGAGTATCTGTCCAATAATTCGCTATTATTTCCCTATATGTCAATTATTAAATCCATAACATTAGAAACATTCTTTCCACAAAGAATTCCATGCAAACCATGAAAACTTTGAACAAACAGGCTCCACGGGAACTGCTCTAATTAACATAAACATTTACATATGAAAAGCACTGCAAAATGTAACATTTTGAAAACATATTTCCAAAACTTGCCATTTTGACACATATCTTTCATAATTCAATACATGTACTCTAAAGGGTGCCTTACATAAGAAGGTAAAGCAATTAGCATTTTTTCTTTAATACCTGTTCGACAATTCGCTTTTATTGAGCATTTGAAATTTAAGCTCTGCAAGTCATCTCAATGAGACTAAAAATTTGCCAAAGTATTTTGAAAATGCTTCAACAAAAATACTCAGGCACGATATTGCCATGGACGGACAGCCGAACATATTTTATAACGATCTGTGGTATAACATATAATACAACCCTTAGAGCTTATAAAAAACCTACAAATTAGACTGGTAATATTATGACACTATTTAGTAATGGTTAGGTGGATTCTGCTATCCAATCGTTCCAAAAGAACTGTTCGGGACTATATGGCACTGGAAAATAGTGTTGAATGTTTTTGTCTGTCCGTCTGTTTTTCTTTGCGTTAGTTATTAGTTTCATGTCAATCAATGTCACACAAACATACATATAGGATAATAATGCCAACATTAAATCTTCTTGCCCCCCAAAGTGTTGTTTTTGTAAAACCTACGTGTCACATTATATTCTTTTATAACAGATCTACATGGCTGTCTATTGAGACAATATAAAGGTAACGTTAAACTATATCAATTCGGTCACAATCGCTTTAGCACTGTGTACGATATGTTAAATAATCACATTATAACGTAACTATTCTAAAGCTATGCCATATAAACATAAAAATAAAATTTTTATAAATAGATCTACAGACATCTAGAGACATACAAGTGTATAGACTTTCTGGTAAACATCTATCAAAATGCAGCCGGATAACCTTGAACCCCTGACAAAACACTCGTAGTTTAGGTACCATAAAAAAGAGAATTCCAAGGAAAATTTTAAGCTGATAAAACTAATTTCATCTATTCAAACGACACTTGACATATTTTCCTTGAAACATAAAACACTTTTAGGGTTAACTTACTTAAACAATTAAACAATAATCACAATTATTCTTTTGGTTTTTATTTTATTTCCTGTGTCAAGATGTTTTCCAAGTATTTCTTAAAACAATAGAAACACGTTGCGGCTGATTTAAATACATTGGGAATGAAGACTTTTATGACAATAGAATAAGGAAGATATATCACATCATGTGGATATCATTGCACTCCAAATAAAAGTATTTAATTAAGAAACAATTGCTCTGTGTAGTAGATGTGTGTGTGTCAGACGCTTGAAGTTGTTGAAATAACATCCTGCTTTATATAGAATTAAGGAAGGGGGGGGGGGTAACCAACATATTTTTGTCCTGTTTCTTATTTGATGTTAAACTCTTTTCTTGAAATACCAGTTTTGGTCACAAGTGGCTCTGAGTATGCGACATCTTAAAATGTTGAAAGAAGCGGGAAATTGATGATAATTATGTAAATACTGAGTGAAAATTGATTGATTCTGATTTAGTGAGCTACTCTCAGTAAAAGTAGAATTAGTAAACTAATAATAGTGTTGCTCTTTAATAACTGTCGTTGACTGTGAGGCCACTTTGCTATGTCATCTGTTTAGGTATTTTGTATTAATAAAAGTCTGATGTATAACAACTTAGGTTGGAAACCTTGTTATTTCTCTTATGCAATACGTATTAGAATTTACACCACAGGCACAGATATATACTGTATCATAGGCACAATTTTATAAATATGCTCGACACTCAAACACATGCAGAGAGAAAATGACCAAAAACAAATGCTAATCAATAAAGCACTTATATAAATTGTTCTATGCAATTCGCTGCGCATCGGTATATTTCCTTTCGGTGGTGCATCAAGGTCAGATGGTTTGACTTCTTTATCATTCCGGGTTGTTAAATGTAGGAAATGTAAAGACAAGTAGAGATTTTGATGCTAAAGCATCAAGTCGCCGGATAGAAAATGATTGTATCATCATAAATATAAAAGAATATCAGTTTAATTAATGGTTCAGGTATAAAGAAAAGAGGAACAATATGTTGAGTAACTGTTTATTCACAATAAAACACCATACATGTATATGAAGCAAACTTGCTTAGCAATATTGTCAAGGAACTGCTATGATTATTATATAAGCAAGTATTTCGTTAGTTTACGTAACTTATTATGATTTATGCTAAAGATTTTATCGATTGTATAGATCTCGATATTAAATCAATTAATATTGCTTGATGGCCTACAGGTGGTAAGTAGGACGAAGTTGTGCCCTAGTAGGCCAAGTTCGAATCTTTGAAAATACCTTTTGCAGTTTTCATAAAACTATTTTTTTTATTATTTCTTTTAACTATATGAAACATAAGTTGATAAATTGTGTTTCATTTCTAGCATTTTTTTTATTTCATAATTTTGATTAATTTGGAAGGCGAGTGATATTCTTGTAATTCTACTTGTAATTCTACCTTATACATATAATATACCGATATACCAGACATCGAAATCCGTTTTGTATACTTCAGAATCGAATATTTGAAAAAATATATGTTTTAATTATTGCATGAAACAATGCAATTCTACCGTAAAAGTGGTATCTGCATAAAAAATATTTTTTTTTGCACTATCTAAAAAATAAATTATTTAGTTGAAATCAATATTCCTGTCGTTACATACGATATAGTAAACGTTTAATTGCCTTTCAGTTCGATAAAATATTAACAAAAAGATATTTTATTAGTTTTCTTTATTATGTATCTAATACGATCCGTCATACCGTTTTGGTAACCTGCGCGACGGAAATCGACGGAATATAACGAAGACGACGATTACCACTATTTATTTCAATAAATGTGCCTCTTTAGCATAAATCTATTTTGTGATGTTCAACCTAAACTAAACTATTGAACGTTGACAGAAAGGGCCAAGTTTAACCCTTTACCAAGAAAAAATGAAAAGGTTTTGAAAATTTATTTAATTCTTTAATGTGCTAATTATGAGTATACAGACCTTTCTAATGATATAAAATATGAAACTGATTAATGAAAGATAACTTTGTAATTATTTATACATTTGCATCTAATTAGCCGCCATACCGTTTTCCAACTATTCACAAGTTATTTGCATGTCTTATCAGCAATCTGTTACTATTAATAGATTCTATAACACTAACATTACAACGGGTAGTCACGTGATTCTTACAATAGAACAGGGAAGAATCTGTTTATAATAAGATAAAATAATGAAATATAATAGGTCTCATAAGATATAAACAACCAAATAATTTAAATGTGTCATTTCAAATATCATTCATGATTTATCAATCATAAAATAGCAACGCTTGACACTTAGAAAAAAATAAAAGTATCCCTAAATTCAATCACTGGTCCATAGGGATACGTTATTAATTCATTTTATGAAAATTGTAATGTTGCTTTTTAAGATGTCAACATTTGTATATTTCCTTTCATTTAGCAATGTTACTTTATTTTTGAATTTTTAAGATTATGAAAAATAATTGTGGTCCTTAATTGTTCAGTAATTGATTTGTTTTTATATTCAGATTTTAAGGCCTTCTCCTACCATAGATATAATATTAAACTGTTACAAATATAGTCGCCGGTTTCTACCGGCGACTAATAAAGGGCACTATTTATGTTCTTACTTTACTGCGAATTTTAACTGGAATGGTGCATTTTTCAACAAGAAACAACTCAAAATCGATATCTGTTCACATACAAAAATACTTCAGTAATAAAACAAAATAGTTTGTTCAACGTGGACTATTCTAGGCAGCACACCACACTAAACGAAGCCACAGCTTCGAATGGCCAGGGAGGATTTCATGGATATAGTGACTATTGTGGATTTAAATGACTGGTTGTCTTTAAAATGCATTTTCAGCATGAAATTTGTTTTTGTGACATGTAATATGTTCATTGGCAAATTCGAAAACATGGTTAGAAATCACATACTGATAATTATAGATCTCAAGGCCGCCATTGTTTGTAAACATTGCTTTTAAACAGCATGCTCGGTGAAAACAAGTAATTTTACAGGGGGGTACAAACTTTCAGCAATAGCAAAAAATCTACAAGGCCAAGCACCTATTTCTTTGTGATATTTTGCATGTATAGGGAGTTGCTAAAGCAGTGACAGAGTTTCTGTAGCCCGTATATTTGCAGGTATTTTTGCCGTAGGGACGAAATATGTTGTTTTGGGTCTCGGACCACTATATATTTTTGGCTTTTACGGAATGAATTGGAATTTTTTTAACTGCCTGACTGTTGCACATGGGATGATTTCATTACAGATTTGCAATGTTATGACATATATGTTCTTAACAAAATGTGTTTTCTTTTTCCAGTTTGTGTAGCTTGGTATCAGATTTATCAGACATATTGCTTGTAGGAAATTGACGGCAGAAACTTGAAATTTAGTGTGGAGTGCTACCTTATTCTATGATAACACCTGTCAAATGAGTTTTGAATTGAAGGATAATGGCAGCGAAAATCAGACATCTATTTGTATATATAATTATATTGTTGAACACCAAATAAACACGTTCTTTTTTAAGAAAAAGGTTTTACTCGATTGATTGAAAGGTGCGTTATATGTCAAGTTAAAGGCTTAAAAATAATGGCATCGTGCCAACCGCACTACGTTACAATCGAATCCACTGCCGTCTGCGTTGTAATCATTTTTTGTCATTAATTTTATAAACAGGCAATTATAATTTCAAAATATACAAAAAATGGTTGTTTTGCATAAGTATTATTCATACGATGCTATGCCGTTATATGTAGGTGTCGTTTTGCACACATTTGTACCTGTCTTTACCACAATTCGGCAAAAGTGGCGTCCCCTTGTCAAACTGTACAGAAGTGTTTGGATAAATGGCAATAAATTGCATGATGTGCGTATAATAAGTTGGAAGAGTACATATGGGGGCTCCAGTCTCACTATGTGTTTCCCGTAAAACGTTAAAACATAAAACAAAATTCAATCATAAATTTTCTGACAACAGCAAACGCCCAATTTTTATCCACCGCTGCTGCGATGAACACTCCACCGCCGCTGCGATGGACCCACCCCTTCTGCGAAAGCCATTGCCAGTGTGTACCATTTTGAACATTGTTAATACTTGTCAGCACTTTGAATAGGTAGTCGCACAAGGAGTCGTGCATATTGATTTTCGCGAGTGGGTTGATCGCCATTCTACTTTTGTACACCACGCTAGCTGCATGTGCAAACAAAAGGTTATATAAGATGGGAATTATCTATTTCTTGGTTTTTTTTTAGTTAATTGGAGTTAAAGAGTTGTAGTTCCTTTTAAACTGTTGCTAGGGCCTAATTTTAGTTTAATTGATTCAATTATCATTCTTCACTTGGACTTCTTTTTTATTCTTCACTTGGACCTCTTTTTTATTATACAAGCATATAGTTCTAAACGACAGACATTTTCAGCGACAGATTTCTAGTTTTTGTAAGCCAGAGTTATTTCCTAACAATGTCACCAAGCACTACTGTACATGTATGACCGAGTGAACCGTGTACTGACATTTTGCTCCTCCTTTAACTTCGGAACAAATTACCTATTATTCGTAATTTGAGCTTACCCGTAGACTGACGAAAATAGCCGATATACTTCTATTGTTCGCAGATACAGAAGTTCTTATTTTTGAACAATTAAACAAATCTTCAACATCTGCAAAAAGACCTCTCGCGTGCTTTTTTTAAAAAACGCAAACTTGTTATGCTCATTATCAGTATTATGACGTTCTACCAACGTCGTTACATTACTCCCCCCCCCGAGGAGTTTCGTCACAGTTTCGTCACGAGATTCACCTAGGAAATCATAGGGTATGGCAACTCCAGTCCAGTAGTTGTCTACATCCGGAATGTAACGGTTTAAGGCACACAAATCCTGTCGGTGAAAATCTTGCTCACCACCAAGAGTGGTTTGTGTCCTTATATATTGGAAACATTCTCTTATGCAAATTTACCAACTATAGTTTTGACATATTATTATGCTCATTATCAGTATTATGACGTTCTACCAACGTCATACAACGGTAGCAAAATGTAAACAAAGTACATGTAGTATTTTGACTTCCATAAAAAATACTAATTCACTATAATTATAGAATTTGCCAACAGAGCAAAAGTAGCAGGAGAGAGTTGTATGGCTGATAGTTTTTTTTTAAAAATTGTAATAAGATACAAAAAATAAACCAGAATCAGTTAATAAATTATACTTATAGCTGTCTCAGCAAAAACATTATTTTGAGTTTTCAAGAACCGATACAATAGCAGCTTTCGATCATTTCCGTCACCATCCGGTAATTTATGAGTAAAGTTATAATATTGGAGTCTCAATTTTAAACAATATAACACAAAACAAAAAACAATATGTTCGTACTATATTTGTCTGGTGTTTCTTATAATTAAGCCATAAACAAACAAAAAATAAAGATTATATGCTTATTTGTTTAATATAGCTGTTATCATCCAACAGACTTGCGGCAAATTCGATAAAGAAAAATCGTTAGTACTGACCTTTACTATTTGAAGCCTTTGAAACGTTTAAACACATGTATAAAGAAACAGATACTGCGATAATCAACAGTCCATTTAAAATTGAATTTACGAGGGTACACCATACCAAAAGTGTACACTTCTTGGCTGAAGGAGTAGTTTTATCTGCAAGCTCCCTTGTACCATGTTGAAGAGTTTCGTAAATGTTGTCTTGTTCAGTCCGATTTTTTCACTCCATACTTACATTCAAATTATCATACATTCCCGGTTACTATTAAAACTAAATGAAGTCAAATTTATTTATTCAGTGCTCCATACAGGATACAAACATTACAAAGTTTATATATTTGAATTACTTAGTTAATTTAAAATTGTTATTCATAATTCATTGAACCTCTTATAGGTTTTAAGTAGAAATTGTTATTCTTTGAACACTTGAAACATAAGCATACTTAGGTTTGCGGCTGTTTCAACTTCCTAGTGAAAGTTCATGAATAATAAGGACTTGGTAATAAATTTAGGGCAATTGAGTTATTAAGTTCGACCTCCGATTTTTGTGACAAAGAGACTTGTTATTGTTGTTTTTAAAGTTTTTTTAACACTAAAACTTGTTGCATTAGTTTTTAAAAACGTCAATATGTGAACTAAAAATACTTTGACTTTCAATTAAGAAAAGAACGGAGCCCTTAAGGTGACATTTTCCACACTTTATTTCCCGGAACTTAATTCGTTTTTACGAAATAATATTTCGTAATTACGAAATATTAATTCGTATTTACGAAATATTAATTTGTTTTTACGAAATATTTATTCGTAATTACGAAATATTAATTCCCTTGGCTTTATTAAAAGAAATGTCATCACTAAAAATGAGAAAGTAAAAGAACTAGCATACAAGTCCCTGGTCCGCCCACAGGTTGAATATGCCTCATCTATTTGGTCTCCTTATACTAAAACCAATATTGACAAAGTTGAGATGATCCAGAGACGTGCAATAAGATGGGTTAAAAGGGATTACTCCCCTCACTCTAGTGTCACAGCCATGCAGGAAGAACTGGGCTGGCGATCCCTTGAACATCGCAGACTGGACTGTAGACTGATAGGTTTTATAAGATATACCATAACCTAGTTGCAATTAATCTCCCAACTTATGTTCAAACCCCACATAGATTAACCAGACATATGCATCCCTTATCCCTACGTCAAATACAGGTATCCTCCGACTACCATAAGTACTCTTTCTTCCCTCATAGCATTATACTATGGAATAACCTCCCTAGTAACATTGCCACCCTGCCCAACCTGAGTCAGTTCAAACAGGCAGTGGTGGGTTTGCAGTACTAGTCTTACTCCCAGTGTTTTTAAACTATTTTATCTCTTATCATCTTGTTTCACTATTAACATTTTAACCATGACTAGAATACATTTTCAGTCTCACCTTCCAAGCATGTCAATGTTTGGACTTTTCTTTTTAGCTTTTCTCTTCACCTTTTACTAACAATCCGACGTGCACTAAATTCCTGCCTTTAACACTCGTAAGAGGGGTTGGCAGTATCCAGAGATAGATAATTTCGAAATATTTATTCATAATTACGAATTATTTATTCGTTTTTACGAAATAGTAATTCGTTTTGACGAAATATTATTTCATAATTCAGCCATTCTCCTATAATTGAAGCACTTTTTAATAATTCCTGTCTCCACTTTTAAAATCGTAGTAAAATGTACAGACGAGCTTAAACATTTGTGACAAACATTTAAATAAGTACACTGGGATGTTCTCAGCAGCTTAACTTAAATTTTGTAGCGTGGATGCTCCTCGTTTTTCATTTGTGTTAAACTGAAAAGCAATAGTAACTGCAAAAAATCGCTGTCGCTTGACCAATTAAAGTTTAAGATTGATGAAAAAAATAATCCATTTCCATGTTTTCCAACAAGTTTTTGTCTAAAATCAATACAATATTGATAATTGATTCAGAATTATATAAGAAGTTCAAGAAAGAGACCCTTATTTTCCATGTTTTTTTTAAAATGCTGCAGTCTCCGAAATGCAACTATGGTAACGATTTTAAATTACTTTTAAATATACATTATACCAATCAAATAAAAATTTTGAAATATTTTGTTTTGTATCTCTTTAAATGAAAAAGACAAAAATGAGATGTAATGGTGTCCAATATTAACTGGAAGTCTAACATGATTTGTATTGTGTTTTAAGGTTGCAGCTTTCCGTTACGGAACATATCAAATTTGTTACGGAACATAGCATTCATAATTATGTTTGAATATGATTTTTGTTATGTTTTTTACAATTTATAAAATACCAAAATTGTATTAATATGTCACTTACATAATCTAAAAGTTTTAGAATTACAATTATCATGAAAAAAAAAATATTAATAATGATATTAATATAATAATAACTAGAAATGTGTCCATATGACACTGATGCCCCCACACGCCACTGTTCTGTCAATCTTATGACTCTAGGTCAAATATTTTTTGGACTACATGTGCCACAAGTTGAAACTAAAAATTAACAAAGAGCCATAATTCTGTTAAATTTGTTCGCAGCAAAAATTCCTTCCTTTACTACCATCTACACATTAAGGTTGTTCATCCCTGGAAGTTTAAGCAAAATCTGCAATCCGGTTTAAGAGGAGTTGCGTGCACAAAATTTCTACATAGTAATTAATGAAAAAATCAACAAAGGGCCATAATTCTGTTAAATTTGGTTGCAGCAAAAATTCCTTCCTTTACTGCCATCAACACATTAAGGTTGTTCATCCCTGGAAGTTTAAGCAAAATCTGCCATCCGGTTTAAGAGGAGTTGCATTCACAAAATTTCTACATAGTATATAGTGAAAAAATCAACAAAGGGCCATAATTCTGTTAAATTTGGTCGCTGCAAAAATTCCTTCCTTTACTACCATCTACACATTAAGGTTGTTCATCCCTGTAAGTTTAAGCAAAATCTGCCATCCGGTTTAAGAGGAGTTGCGTTCACAAAATTTCTACATAGTAGCTAGTGAAAAAATCAACAAAGGGCCATAATTCTGTCAAATTTGGTTGCAGCAAAAATTCCTTCCATTACTGCCATCAACACATTAAGGTTGTTCATCCCTGGAAGTTTAAGCAAAATCTGCCATCCGGTTTAAGAGGAGTTGCATTCACAAAATTTCTACATAGTATATAGTGAAAAAATCAACAAAGGGCCATAATTCTTTCAAATTTGGTCGCAGCAAAAATTCCTTCTTTAACTACCATCTACACATTAAGGTTGTTCATCCCTGTAAGTTTAAGCAAAATCTGCCATCCGGTTTAAGAGGAGTTGCGTTCACAAAATTTCAACATAGTATATAGTGAAAAAATCAACAAAGGGCCATAATTCTGTTGAATTTGATCGCAGCAAAAATTCCTTCCTTTACTACCATCTACACATTAAGGTCGTTCATCCCTGTAAGTTTAAGCAAAATTTGACATCCGGTTTAAGAGGAGTTGCGTTCACAAGATTTCGGGACGTACGGACGGACGGACTGACGGACGGATGGACGGACGGACAAGTGCAACGCTATATGCCCCCACATTGTGGGGGCATAAAAATGATTGTTATTATGATAATTGTTATATTATTGATAATAATCATGATAAAAAAAAATAATTTAATTATGTTCATGTATCAAGGTTAATAAGTTTATAATATGCAACGATTTTTTTTTTAGAATGGTGCTTTTAAATGCAGAAATACAAAAGACAAAAGCAGAGAGGGGAAAACAACAAATCATTTAAAAGAGAAAGAAAGCAGAAAAAAGTATGTCCCCACTCAAAAAAGAGCACTGGTGAAGAAAATGTAGAGAGAACTACATGAAACATTATAACAATACAACAAATTTGTGTAAATTAGGCAGAAATAAAGCAAATAAAAGTGAAAGAAAAAAGAATTCTTGTTCATTTTCAGTGAAAAACATAATATTTTATTTTCCGTAACATATGTTCCGTAACAAATATCTTTTCCTGCACTACTCGCTCAATTGTACTTTAGGTACCATAAGAAAGAGAATTCAAAGAAAAATTTTAAGCTGATAAAATTAATTATATCTATTCAAACGACACTTGACATATTGTCATTGAAACAGAAAACTTTCAGGTTTAACTTACTTAGAGCTATTAAACAATAATCACAATTATTCCTTTGGTTGATATTTTATTTCCAGTGTCAAGATGTTTTCCAAGTATTTCTATTAACAATAGAAACATGTCGCGGCTGATTTAAATGAATTAGGAATGAACACTTTTATGACAATAGAATAAGGAAGATATCACATTATGTGGATATCATTGCACTCAAAATAAAAGTATTTAATTAAGAAACAATTGCTCTGTGTAGTAGATGTGTGTGTCAGACTCTTGAAGTTGTTGAAATAACGTCCTAGTTTAAATAGAATTAAGACCGGGGATAAACCGACATATTTTTGTCCGGTTTCTTATTTGATGTTAAACTTTTTTCTTGAAATACCAGTTTTGGTTACAAGTGACTATGAGTATGTGACATCTTAAGATGTTGAAAGAAGCAGGACATTGATAATAATCATGTAAATACTGAGTAAAAATTGATTGATTCTGTCTAAATGAGCTACTCTCGGTAAAAGTAAAAAAAATTAACATCTATGTGTTTATAATATTGCACTTTTGTTACATCAATATATGAAGAAATCTCACTTTTTTCTGTAAAAATATGCTTGTTGTATTATAAAGTCTTTATATAAATATTTCTAGCAGGTTATATGACCGTATAGAAACGTTGTTTGCAATGTAGCCGATTATAAATGGTCATTTAACCTGTCAAAAATCTTTATAATGAAATAGATAATGCTTGTGCGTGTATGTGAAATCAGATTCTTTATAACGAATAATATAAACGTCACGATTATCCAAAGAAAAGCGACGTGTTTTATATACATGACTGCTGTTTATTTATGAAGCGATTAAATTTATATCATATTTCCAAACATCTGTTTATATACGACCATAACATGTCAAAAATCTTTATAACTAATAATATTGTTGCGTCCCGTGCCGATGCTCTTTAATAACTATCGTTGACTGTGAGGCCACTTTGCTATGTAATCTGTTTAGGTATTTTGTATTAATAAAAGTCTGATGTATAACAAGTTAGGTTATAAACCAATAAGTGTTAGAATTTACTCCACAGTTAGAGATTTATGCTGTATCATAGGCATAATTTTATAAATGTCTACTTTAAATTATGCTGACACTCAAACACATGCAGAGTAAACCGACCAAAACAAATGCTGATCAATAAAGCACTTATATATAAATTGGTCTTTGCAATTCGCTGCG